CACTTGATACGTTGAAATTTAATTGTAATTGTTGTGTAGTGAATCACTTATCGGAAATACAAACAGTTTTTTANACTAGCAATTTTGTTTTCATGACATTCCCAAGAGAAAGAGAGGGAGAGAGAAAATTTAATAAAGATGATTGTGAGAGATGTAGCGTGAGGTATTTGTTTCGATTAATTTAATATGTTGGATTAAAATTTTTTGTTCCTTGTTGTGTGAAAAAAAAAATGGTTAGTCTAATTTCCTCGGAAACTGTCGTGTGATTCAAATTCTTAATACAAGATGGACAAAATAAGGAGGAAATGAATTTAAATTTCATCTTAATAATCAGTAACCATAAGACATACAACTAATATTACAAAAGCACATGTGCAAGTACTAATTATCTGCCAATGCTCCACGAAGTCAGTTCTTATATTAGTTGTGTTGTTTTACTAAATCCATACTCCGGTTGTTCGGCGAATATCTGTCCTTCTTGATTAATTTCATCCCAGAATCCCTTTTGTTGTCCGTTTGACCCATAGATGCTGCCATTCTGCCGTTTTCTAATTCTGCATTGATTCTTTCAGTTTCAGAATCTGCTCAATATCCCGTCATTAAATTCGACAATTTTCGTGTCATATACTTTGCACGGAGCGTCCATTAACGTGTTTTGCTATCACATCATTTTTTTGTATTAACAACCTGGTTGCCAAGGTTGGATTACTGTGTGATAACCAATCGATCAGTAGTAACAGGTTGTTACAATTTTGAAAGCTTCTGTCGAGAAAGTTTCATTGTTTTTTGTTGTTAATGTGGTGAGTTGCAAAAGAAAAGTTTATTAAATAGTAGAATTATAGTAAACAGTATACTACAATAGTAATAGGTAATATAAAATCGAGGACGAAATGTGAATAGTACAGCAATTTTAAATCAAAACGGTTAGTCGAGTTAGAGGAGACGAATATGGCATTGATATAACGTCCGATCAAGAAGTTTTACTGAAGAGTGCCGAGAATTCGCTCTCGGAACCCTTACATTGTTCATAAATAGGTTGGGTTTAAGGTAACATACAGAATTAATTTTTTCTAATTTTTTCCTTTTGTCCAAGAGGAAATTGCGTGGGAATTATTTTAGCGAATGTGTACAGTCTCAACATCAAAGGAAAAAGACATTTTCTCACGATTGAGCGTTAGATAGCAAACTTATCACTTTAGATATGAAAAAACATTGTATATTTTTCGTGTAATGTGATGAGTCTTTTATCTCGGAAATGTTCAGTATAACAAATCCTTTAGTTGCTTAAACACATTACAACTTCCTTCGGTTTTTTCCGACATTTCTTTTGCAATCTCAATTCATATCATAACTTCATGGTCCCTTGTTTCGTCTTATTTTAGTAATACTGGGTATAACTGATAGAATTCATCAAAAAAGCTTTTGCTAGCAGTTGTTAAACTACCTTGTTTAATTTTTTCTTTTAAGTACGATTTCGATGATTCAAATGATGTTTCCCAAAGGAAATGATATGAATTGACATTTCATCATAGAAATTTTAGAAATAATTTTAATTTCTGAATGTGGTACTGTCCATTCAGCTATCTGTCATTCTAGCGTTTTGTAGTTGGAGGAACTTGCAATCAGCAGAAACTATCGAAAAGAAATCAAGCATTGAATATTTTTGTAATGTTTATCAGAAGATTCTTTCCTTTTGTAAAACTTTTGATGTTCTAAGACATAAACGATATTATTAATTTTTTCTTTATCCATTGCATCTTCAAACGTAGAGAAAAGATGCTATTATTCTCCATTACCTAAAGTATTAGAAAATGCATTCGGAGAGATGATCTAGGTTTTTGCATCTGAAAAATGCCGATGATCAGTTTTTCAGTTTAATTCTCCTCATTACTGAAAACTCTCCGGTAATTGTTGGAAACATTTCATCTTTCATAAAATGCACTTCTTGTCGCGAATTCCAATTTCGCGAGAGACCAAAGTATAAAAAATTATCTATCCATGCAATCATCAATCATGCCTTAGATCTTTGTTTTAAATCACATCTGTTGAAATATTTGGAGCAAAACCACTCCCACTTTTTCCGTATATAAGCTGTATTGAGTGTTGTCCAGGGAGCTTTTGATGACCAGTTTTTCATTACACTCAAGCAGTTTGGTTGATTCTTTTTTTTCTTTCATCATTATCAGCAGTATCGTATCGTTTTTGTGATCCTTACCATTTACAAGTAAAGAATTTAACTCTCCCCCTTTGTCTACAACGTTACGACACACA